TTTTTTTTTTTTTTTTTTTTTTTTTTTTTTTTTTATTTTCTCCTTGACCTAATTATGGTTAACACAAGGAAAAACATAATACGTATATGAAAATCATAGACCTTAGAGTAGCTAGTGTTTGAGTTTGACTTCTAACCATAATGCTCTTTACTTGGGTCAGTTGTGGGTCCATTAGAACTTTTTCTAAGAGCTTTTAAAGTGAGCGCATGCTATTCCAAAAAAATATATATATGTAACAGTTATGATTTATTTGGTATTACATAAATGTTATACGACCAAACACGCTCACAAAATTGCACTTAAATTCAACTTTCACATGGGCACTCCTTTTGTCATTTTCTGATATTTTTTGGCAGACAGGAATGGGGGCCTTGACAAGGAAAGGATAGGAAAGGAAGAAGAGATAAAAGATCTTCTATTTCGTTTGGTTGGAAAATAAGTTATTTCATAATTAATTATTTCGAAATTAGTTATTCTCTTTCATAGGGATAAAAAAAATAGTACAATTCTGGATGATTAATTATATCATGATTTTATCCCAACCAAACTTGGAATAAACTCATCTAGATAGCTCAGTGAGGTACGTCACCCGCCCTACTTCTAATGATATATAGAAAAGGCGTGTGCAAACGAAGGTATCGGTCTCGTCGAGTGAAGCAACCACTAGTCGCCATTAGTGCTCCAAAACACCCTTCTGCTTGCGTGAGCAACGGCCCCTATCGCCCAGAACAAGCACCTTTAGTGTTCCCGACCGCCCGCCGCGGTAGTATGAGCCTTCCCTTTCCTTGATGTTACACACTAGATGCACAATGAGGGTAGTACGAGGTGACTGATAGCATTACTTAGACTAATTATCCGTTATCCCTCGTACCAAACGACCCCTTAGTAATTGTAGTGACTTGCTCTTTTAGTTTGCTTATATTATTGGTTTCAAATTCGATGAGTTTGTGTAACGACCCGGCCGGTCATTTTGAGAGTAATAGCCCCGATCAACCATTTATTGCTACTCTCATATCTATTTCTGCTATTGTGACTTGCCAGGAGGTTTCGTTTTGGTGTTTGGAGTGTTTTGGGACACTTGGTGCCTAAATGGAGGTTTAAGCCTTAAGATTTGAACTGTAGTCAGAACTGTGTGAAGATGAATACGGAATGGAGTTTCGTCGGTTCTGTTAGCTCCGTTAGATGATTTTGGGCTTAAGGGCGTGTCTGAAATGTGTTTTGGAGGTCCGTAGCTTATTTAGGCTTGAAATGGCGAAAGTTAAATTTTTGGAGATTTGGACCGGTTGTAAAAATTTTGATATCGGGGTTGGATTCCGATTTTGGAAGTTGGAGTAGGTCCATAATGTTGAATATGATTTGTGTGCAAAATTTGGAATCAATCAGACGTGGTTTGATAGATTTTGACATCGATTATGGAAATTTAAAATTTCAAGTTCTTTAAGTTTGAATTGGAGGGTAATTCGTGATCTTAGCGTTGTTCGATGTGGTTTGATAGATCGACTAAGATCGTTTGGTGTTTTAGGATTGGTTGGTATGTTTAGTTGAGGTTCCGGGGGCCTCAGGTGAGTTTTGGATGTCCGACGGATCGATTTTCGGACTTAGGAGGTTATTGAAGTTTTCTGGTGTCTGAGTTCTGGTTTCCTTATGCGCGATCGCACGGGGTGATTTGCAATCGCGCAGGATTAGCTAGGCAGAGGATGGAATTTTTCTTCGCGTTCGCGGACAGGGGCATGCGAACGCGTAGAGAAGTGAGGTTGTGCTTCACGAACGCAGAGCCAAGGTCGCGTTCGCATAGTGTTAAGTGGACCAAAGCTGGGCCACGCGCTTTGCTCATCGCGAACGCGTTGGGGTGTTCGTGATCACGTAAGTATGAGAGCCAGAGCATCCCGTTCGCGTGGTGTTTTACGCGATCACATAGAGTTAATTTCTGGGGCAGTAAAGTTGTTTTTCGCGATCGCGATTAAGGAATCACTAGGCAGTATTAAACATTTTAAAAACGAGGGTTTGGACATTTTTATCAAAACTTGAGTTTGGGAGCTCAGATTTGGACGAGAGTTTGGGAAATTTTCAGAGACATCGATTGGGTAATGATTCTACACTCTATTTTGGTTAGATTTTATTAATCTATCATTAATTTCATCTTTAATTTTGGATTTTGGGGTTGAATTTTGGGAGAAATTGGAAGAAGTTCTTCCACTAAGATTTCGAGTTTTGAAAGGGGATTCGTGGTCGGATTTGAGTAATTTTTATATGGTTGGACTCGTGAGCGAATGGGTGTTCATATATTGTGACTTTTACCCGATTTCGAGACGTGGGCCCGGGTCGACTTTTTAGGACGAATTTCAGAATATTTTATTAAAATCTTGATTTAATTAATTAGATTAGCCTATTATACTTGTATTTATGATATGTAGTTGTTTTGGCTAGATTTGGACCATTCAGAGTCGGATATTCGTGGAAGGCATTCTTACTTATTGATTGAGCTTGGTTCGAGGTAAGTGGCTTGCCTAACCTTGTGTGGGGGAACTCCCCGTAGAATTTGTATTGTTTTTGATACATGAGAGCCATGTACATGAGGTGACGAGTACGTACACGGGCAATTTGTGTAAAAACCTAATTTTTCTACTAAGTAATAACCCGATTTCCTTCTTATTTGAGTTCCATCAGCATGTGTAGTATCCGGCTAGACCAGAATAGCATGCCTACTTGCTTTAACTATTTACTTGAACTACGTGCATCATGTTTAGTGAATTTACCTGTCTTTCCTTAACTGGTACTTAGGTTGAACTGTAGAATTTCATACAGTAACTATTGAATTCTATTGTTTGTCTGCATATTTATTTTGGGATTACGAAACGGTATTCCGGTAGATCCCCCTGTTTTGCATATTTACTTTGGGACTACGGAACGGTATTTCGGTAGATCCCCCTGTTCTGTACATTTATGTTTGGGACTACGAGACGGTGTCTCGGGAGATCCCCTGTTGTTATCTCTGTGTACAGAGTTGTTACTTTCTGTGGTTTCATTTTTGTTAAATTTTAGTCTTTATTTTACTACAATATTTCATTATGCCTTGCTTTATATATATATATATCAGTAGAGCCCTGACTTGATCTCATCACTACTCGACCGAGGTTAGGCTTGGCACTTACTGGGTACCGTTGTGGTGTACTCACATCATTTCCTGCACATGTTTATCGTGTGCAGATCCAGGTTCGTCTTACCTGCCTCATCACTAGTTGCAGTCGCTGCTTCTTATTGGAGACTTCAAGGTACATCTGCCCGCGCCCGCAGATCCTCGGAGTCCCCCTTTATCCCCCTATGTTCATTTTTCTTTCTTTCTGTATAAATGATATATAGAACAATTAAGACTTCTTA